ATGTTTTCTTCTAAGAATTTCATAGGTTTTGCATTTACATTACGTCTTTGACCCTGAGTTAATTTTTACATGTGATATGAAGTAAGAATCCAGCTTCATTCTTTTCCATGTTTTCCCCGTACTGTGCTCTGAACGTGTCCTCTACAATTCATGTATTGGAAACTTAATCTCCAATGCAACAGTGTTAGGAAGTCCGGTCTTTGGGAGGTATTTAAGCTATGTGGATTTCACTCTCACAAATGGATTAGTGCTGTTATGAAAGGGCTTGACGGAGGGCGTTTGTCCCGTTTTGCCTTCCACCTCCTGCCATGTGAGAACACACTGTTCCTCCCCCCTGGAGGATGCAGCGGTAAAAGTGTCATTTTAGAAGCAAAGCATCGTAGGACCCTGGCCAGACACCTGAACTTGCCAGTACCTTGCTCTTGGACTTACCAACCTCCAGGACTGTAAGAATAAGTTCCTGTCCCTTGTGAATTACGCAGTCTATGGTAAATTACAGCAGCAGGAGTGGGCGAAGACATCCAGCATCATTGTTGAAAGACCGTTTCCCCTCCATGGAAGGGTCTTGCTCCTTGTCAATAATGAGTTGACCATAGACAGGTGGATTTATTTCTCAGCTCTCAGTTCTGCTCCTTTGATCTCTGTCTTCTGCCAATGCCACCCTGTCTTGATTACTGCTCATTTGTAGTGAGTTTTAAAATTGGAATAAGTGTGAGTCTCTCAACTCTGTTCACATTTTGCAAAACTTTCGGCTATTCTGAGTCCCTACCAATTCTATATAAATTTTATGATGTTTGTCAATTTCTGCAAAGAAACCAGTAGAAATTTGGATGAGGACTGTGTTGAATGTATAGATTAATCCTAGAGTATTGGCATCTTAACAACATTGAGCCTTCTGATCCATGAACATGGCATGCTTTCATTTATTTACATCTTTAATTTCTTTTAACATTGATTTGTTGTCTGTAGAGAATAAACCTTGCACTTCTATTAAATTTATTCCTAAGCATTTTATTCCTTTGGTTCCTGTTGTAAATAGAACTGCTTTTTAGTTTCATTTTTAGATTACTCATTACAAGACTATAGCAATACAATTTTTATATTAATTTTATCTCATAAATTTGCTTAAGTCATTTATTACCTTAATAATTTTAATGTATTTTTAAAGTTTTTTTTTTTTTTTTTTTTTTTTTTTTTTTTTTTTTTGACAGGCAGAGTGGACAGTGAGAGAGAGAGACAGAGAGAAAGGTCTTCCTTTTGCCGTTGGTTCACCCTCCAATGGCCGCCGCTGCAGCCGGCGCACCGCGCTGATCCTGGCAGGAGCCAGGAGCCAGGTGCTTTTCCTGGTCTCCCATGGGGTGCAGGGCCCAAGCACCTGGGCCATCCTCCACTGCACTCCCTGGCCATAGCAGAGAGCTGGCCTGGAAGAGGGGCAACCGGGACAGAATCCGGCGCCCCGACCGGGACTAGAACCCGGTGTGCCGGCGCCGCAAGGTGGAGGATTAGCCTATTGAGCCACGGCGCCGGCTAAAGTTTTTTTAAAAAGATTTATTTTCTTATTTGAAAGGCAGAGTTACAGACAGAGAGAGGGAGAGACAGAGAGGTCTACCATCTGCTGGTTTACTCCCCAAATGGCTGCAACTGCCAGAGCTGAGCCGATCTGAAGCCAGGAACCAGGAGCTTCTTCCGAGTCTCCCTCATGGGTGTAGGGGCCCAAGCACTTGGGCCATCCTCTACTGCTATCCCAGGCCATAACAGAGAGCTGGATCAGAAGAGGAGCAGCTGGGACACCCATATGGGATGCCAGTGCCCAAGGTGGAGGTTTAACCTACTATGCGCGGCTTGGGCCCCTTCCTTAGGTTGTTCTACATGCAAGATTATGTTGGCTGAAAATAGAGACATTTTTACCTTTTTCTTTCCAATCTGTATGTTTTATTTCTTTTGCTTGCCTGATTACCCTCGTTCAAGCCTCTAGTTCTATGTTGAATGAGAGTGATAGAAGTGGCTATCCTTGCTCCTCTTTCCTGAGTTTAGGGAGAAAGATCAAGTCTTTTACCTTTAAATATGACATTTGCCATGGTTTTTATAGACACTCGTTTTCTAGTTGAGAAAGTTGTCTTCTATTCCTAGTTTGTTGAGTCTTCTTTTTATCATAAAGCAGTTTGGATTTTGTCAAATACCTTTACTTTGTCTACTGGGATGCTCATGTGTTTTGTGTTTTTTATTCTGTTGATATGGTGTATTATATTAATTGATTTTCAGATGTTAAGCCAACCTTGCATCCTGAGATAAATCCCAATTGGTCATGGTTTATAATTCTTTTTATATGGTGCTGGATTCAGTTTGCTAGTATTTTGTTGAGGATTTTTGTGTCCCTACTCATAAGAGATATTGGTCTATAGTTTTCTCTTCTGTAAGGTCCTTTGTCTTGTTTGGGTTTCAGAGTAACCTTGGTTTCATAGTATGAGTTGGAATGTATTACTTCCTCTTGTATTTTCTGGAATTGGTTTTGGAGAATTGGTATTAATTCTTCGAAGCCATCTAGGTTTGAGTTTCTCTCTGTGCATATTTTTCATTACTGTTTCAGTCTCTTGTTATAGGTATATTCAAATTGCCTATTTCTTCTCTTTTTTAATACTTTGTCCCTCTGTAGGAATTAGTCTGTTTTGTCTAAGTTGTCTTATTTATAACATGGTTTTCATACTGCTTATTTCCCCAAAAGATTTAGTTATTTGAAAAGCAGAGTTACGGTGTGGGGGGAGATAGACAGACCTTCCACTCACTGGATCACCCCCCAGATAGCTGCAGTGGCTCCAGGGCTGGGCAAGGCTGAAACCAGGAGCCCTGAACTCCATGCAAATCTCCCACACGAGTGACAGGGACTCAAGTACTTGGGTCATCTTTCCAGCTGCTTTCCTAGGTGCATTAACAGGGAGCTGGATTGGAAGTGGAGTAACTGGGACTCAAACCAGTGCTCATGTGGGATGCCTGGGATGCCAGCATTGCGGGTGGCCACTAAACTCACTGTGCCACAATGCTGGCCCCCACACTATTCTTAAATAATCCTTTTTATTTCTGTATATTCAGAAGTAATGTCCTCTTTCATTTTTAAAAAAATATTTTATTAATTTATTTGAAAGGCAGACTTACAGATAGAAACGTCTTCAATCCACTGGTTCACTCCTCAAATGCCTGCAACAGCCAGGGCTGAGCCGATCTGAAGCCAGGAGCCAGGAATTTAATCCAGGTCTCCCACATGGGTACAGGGGCCCAAGCACTTCGGCCATCTTCTGCTGCTTTCCCAAGCTATAAGCAAAGTGCTGGATTGGAACAGGAGCAGCCGGGACACAAACTGGTGCCCATATGGGATGCTGGCGCCAGAAACGGAGGCTTAGCCTACTGTGCCACAGCACCGGCACCTCTTTCATTTCTGATTCTAGTAATTTGAGTCTTCTGTATTTTTCTCAATCTAGCTAATGGTTTGTCAATTTTGGTAATCTTTTCTAAGGACCAGCTTTAGTTTCACTGATTTTATTGGGTTTTCTATTCTCTATTTCATTAATTTTTTTTTTTGATTTACACATATGACTTTATTTAGTCACCAGAACAATTATGTAAGATATGCACTAATACACTCATTGCATGGCAAAAGAGGAAAATAAATCAAAGTATTTAAATAACATGTCCAAAGTCACAGTGATGTAGTTGAAATCAGATTTAGTGTTGGCTCATTTTTTTTTTTTTTTTGGTTTCACATTTCTCTCTTTTTTTTTTTTTAAACTTTTATTTAATGAATATAAATTTCCAAAGTACGACTTATGGATTACAATGGCTTCCCCCCCATACCGTCCCTCCCACCCACAACCCTCCCCTTTCCCACTCCCTCTCCCCTTCCATTCACATCAAGATTCATTTTCGATTATCTTAATATACAGAAGATCAGCTTAGTATACCTTAAGTATGGATTTCAACAGTTTGCTCCCACACAGAAACATAAAGTGAGGAATAATAGATGATTTTTTTTAAATGATGATGAAATCAGAGCAGACCTATTGTCATGTTTAATCCCAGTGAGAGTCAAGTTGGGAATTGATAATTTCTTTATTATTATTTCATTAATTTTTATTATAATTTTGTTATTACTTTTCTTTTACTTGCTTTCAGTTTGTTCTTCCAATGTCTTTAGGCTATTAATTTGAGATCTTTTGTTTTCTAATTTAGGCATTTATAACTATAAATTTCTGTCTTTCCTTCCTTACCACTTTTGTTTGCGTTAAGTAGTATTATGTAATATTTTAATTTTTGAGTGTTTTTTTTTTTTACTGTTTTTTGAGTTACTTCTTAATGGTTGCTCTAGTATTCACATCTTGGTTTATCAGCATCTTATATAGAAACATTATTCCTATATAGCTCTATTGTTTCCCCTTTTTGTTATATTATTTGGATTTGGGTTATATTTGTATTTGTGAAATATATATTATTGTTATACATGTCACTTCTGTAAGTGTTACAAACTCAGCAATACATTTTTTTAAAAGATTTATTTATTTATTTGAAAGAGAGAGAGAGAAGGAGAAGCAGAGAGAGAGAGAGAGAGAGAGAGAGAGGTCTTCCATCTGATGGTTCACTCCCCAGTTGGCTGCAATGGCAGGAGCTACCCCAATCCGAAGCCGGAGCCAGGAGCTTCTTCTAGGTCTCCCATGCAGATGACTTGGGCCATCTTCCACTGCTTTCCCAGGTCATAGCAGAGAGCTGGATTGGAAGTGGAACAGCTGGGACTCGAACTGGCACCCATATGGGATGCCAACACTGCAGGCAGCAGCTTTATCGGCTACGCCACAGTGCCGGCCCCAGCAATACATTATTATAACTTACTTTATAAGAGTATAATGTTAAGACTTTTAATGGAGTTGAGAGAAACACCTGGTGCAAGAGGAAGATGGCCACTGCGGCGACTGCGAGTGCGCATGTGCAGACGGCTCTTCCTGGTGGAGTGAGAGGCAGGCGGAAGCGGCCTGGGGCGGCCAGCGGGGCTCAGGGCCGAGTCCGGGAGGGCGAGGACGTGCTGGCCACCTTGAAGACCCTCGTGGCCCGCCAGAGTGGAGTAAGTTCCGCCTCTTCTTGAGGTTCCCAGATGCTACTTTTGATCCGGAGCTGCGGTGTTGACTGTCCGGTGAACACAGTCTCGGTGGGTGGCAGCCAGGCTGAGCCTGGGGATATGGCTGCTGCTGGTCGGAGGGGTTTAGGACGCTGACTCCGCGCGGTCGCCAGGGTGCGCACGGTGTTAGTTTATGATGTCACGTCTTTGTGAAACTGGAAAACTGGCAATGCATTGGAAACGTAGGAAGATGATATAGTGGCCGGCCTAGCGGCGCCGGCACACCGGGTTCTAGTCCCGGTCGGGGCACTGGATTCTGTCCTGGTTGCCCCTCTTCCAGGCCAGCTCTCTGCTGTGGCCAGGGAGTGCAGTGGAGGATGGCCCAGGTGCTTGGGCCCTGCACCCCATGGGAGACCAGGAGAAGCACCTGGCTCCTGCCATCGGATCAGCGCGGTGCGCCGGCCGCGGCGGCCATTGGAGGGTGAACCAACGGCAAAGGAAGACCTTTCTCTCTCTCTCTCTCTCTCTCTCTCTCTCACTCTCACTGTCCACTCTGCCTGTCAAAAAAAAAAAAAAAAAAAAAAAGACATAGCAAGCATGCTGGTTGGAAATAATTCTGGTAGGGAAAATCGTGAAGCTGACAGAAATGAAGGCCTGCGGTTTGCCCAAAAGCGTTCCATGTTACTTGTAGAGGCTACCTGTAATGGTAGCCACATGATTTGGGGGAGCTTTTGAAGTTATTTTCCGACATCCGGACTAGGGGAGAGGAAGCCCCAGAATACAGGGAGCAGGCGCCTGCAGTGGGGCTGGTCTGTGTTGTAAACTCTGGCAATTGCCATCTCCCGCCTGTGCATGGCGGTGGGTGAGGGGGGTCGGGGGGTGGTGGCATCGTTCTGTGTAAATATTCTTTAGCTGCTGTTTGGGGGACCTTTCCGGCTCTCCCGGGTAGAGTGTTACCATAGCAGGCACAGCTTTCGATGTAACATAAGGTAGGGGTACCTGTGTGAGTGCATTTGGTTTTGTGGCTTACATTTATCATGTGATTTTTAAAAGAATCCATCCCATGTAATATTTGCTGATGCAGGGCCTGTTTTTGGTGTCCTGCTTTGTGCCTAAATACACCTTTCAATTACTGGATCACTTGGTATGCAGAACTCCAGAACCCCAGGGCGGGGATACAGGTATCATCAGACCTGCCAAACATGATTTCGCAGCTTTCCTAGGATGTTCGAGATTCTCTTCTGGGGTTAAGCAAAACAACACTGGAGAATGAGGCCCAGGCCAATTTGTTGTTAAATCTCTATCTGTCTTGATGATGCTTCTGAAACAGTATTGATATGTTAACGAAGTTTGGTATTGCTTTTTAGTTTCCTTCAGTGAGTAGCTCAGTTGCCTGCCTGGAGTTCCCATCTTGCCCTATGCCTGCTGGACTCATGGTCCTTCACGAAGCATTTTGAGTTAACATGGTGTTTGGCAGAACCACAGTCAGGTCTAACCTCTTTTTGGCTTCAGAAGGACACGCGTAGTGTGCTTAATTGTAGCACCTGTCAAATTTACCGCTCTTGGAACCAACTTTTTTTTTCTCATAAAGGTTGGCGATGTTTGTCCAGCTTCCTCTGCTGTAGCTTGTACAGTGTTAATGACTATCCATGTCTTATGGCTTCTGTAATAGGCGGTTGATATTCAAATCCTGTTTTTGCGCTTTAAGGGGTAGAGACAAAAATACTAAATGACAATCTGAGAAAGGCAGTTTGCTTCCAGATTCTGATGTCTATGAGAAAATACTGTTATAATGAAAACCTTGATGGTTTATTGTAACAAATAATCAGTAGTTTATCTACCAGCTTGTACTGGCAAGTCTTTTCTACAGTATTAAAAAACAAATTGAGAGAACAAAGAACAGCAAGTACTTATTAACAACTTTTGTTTTATTAACCTTCCTGTTCTCTTCAGTTGTTCTTGTGGATCCAGAGTTATCAGTTGTAGTCATTGCCTTAGTGTGATGGAGTTTGCTTCCACTCACATCCTTTGTGTAGTTATTGGCAAGTATATTACATTTCCATGGGTTTTGACTCAATGGCACATTATATGAGTATATGTATTTTTATATAGCTGTTTTTAAATCAAGAGAAGGAGAAACACGTGCATTTGTGCTATCTTTCATAATCACATAATTACTGTTCCTGATGCTTTTTGTTTTTTTGTATGTGGATTTGAATTACTGGCCGGCACTTTCATCTTGAATGTGATATATTCCTGTACATCATATTTCTAGCAACAAATTCTCTCTTTTTTTAATCTGGAAATAATGCCATCTTAATTTTTTTTTAAGATTTTTGTTTACAGGACTGGCATTGTGGCATAGTGGGTTAACTTGAAGTGCCAGCATCTCACATGGGTGCTGGTTCAAGTCCTACCTGCTCCACTTCCAATCCAGCTCCCTGCTAATGTATCTGGGAAAGCAGCAGAAGATGGCTCAAGTTCTTGGGCCCCTGAACCCACGTGGGAGACTCGGAGGAAGCTCCTGGCTCCTCGATTCAGCCTGACCCAGTCCCAGCTGTTGTGGCCATTTGAGGAGTGAACCAGAGTATGGAAGACTTCTCTCTGTGTCTCTCCTCTCTGTAACTCTGCCTTTCAAATAAATCAGTTTTTAAAAATATTGTTATTTATTTGAAAGGCAAAGTTACAGAGAGAGAGAGAAGGAAGAAGAGAGAGAAGGAGGAAGAGATGGAGAGAGACAGAGAGAGCTCAATCTTCTCTCTGCTGGTTCACTCCCCAGATGGCTGCAATGGCCAGGGCTGAGTCAAGCCACTGTCAGGGATCCGAGCAGTTGGGCTGTTGTCCCCTGCTTTTCCCAGGTGCATTAGCAGAGGCTGAATTAGAAGTGGAGCAGCCAGGGCATGAACTGGCACCCATATGGGGTGCCAGCATTGCAGGGGATTACTCTACCCACTGTGCCACAACACTGACTGCCACCCCCAGCCCTGCCTACAATTTTTTTTTTAAGATTTATTTATTTGTTTGAAAGAGTTACAGAGAAGGAGAGGCAAAAGGAGGGAGGGAGGGAGGGAAGGAGAGAGAGAAAGAGATCTTTTTCTACTGGTTCACTCCCCAAATGGCTGGAGCAGCTGGGGCTGGGCCATACTGAAGCAAGGAGCCAAGAGCTTCTGGGTCTTCCACATGAGTGCAAGGTTCCAAGCACTTGGGCCATCTTCTGCTCCTTTCCCAGGTATATTAGCAGGGAGCTGGATCAGAAGAGGAGCAGCCAGGACTCGATCTGGTGCCCATATAGGATGCCAGCGTCACAGGCAGCAGCTTAACCCCCTGCACCACAGCACTGGCCCCCATGTATTTTTTTTAAAGATTTATTTTATTATTTTGAAAGGTGGAGTTACAGAGAGAGAGAGAGAGAGACAACTTCCATCCACTGGTTCACTACCCAAATGGCCGCAACAACTGGGGCTGTGCCAGGCTGAAACCAGGAGGTTCATCCAGGTCTCCCACATGGGTGACAGGGGTCCAAGCAGCTGGGCCTCTTCCACTGCTTTTCCAGGGACATCACCAGGGAGCTTCATGGGAAGTAGGGCAGCTGGGACTTGAACCGACGCCCATGTGGGATGCTGGCACTGTCAGCGAGACTTAACCCACTTAACCCCCTATGCCACAGCACCTGCCCACTTCCCTTCATTTTTGAAGGAAAGATGGTTTTGTAGGATATGGAATTCTTGGCTGACATTTTTTTTTTCTTTAAGGATTTTAAATATGTTATCCTACTACATTCTAGAGTTCGTTGTTTCTGATGAGAAGTCAGTTATTAGCTTATTAGGTTTTCTGTATATTTGGATGCATTATTTTTTGCTTTTTGATTTCAGGATTTTGTCCTTGCCTTTGTTTTTTTAGCTTTTTTTTTTTCTTTTTAACTACAATGTGTATATTTTAAAATCCCTTTCTGTGGTTTGTTCTTGGGCTTCTTAGATTAATGCTTTTCAATGAATTTGCAACTTTTCAGTCATATTTCTTTGAATGTTCTTTGTTCCCTTTCTATTTCTTCTCTCTATCTGATTCTCACATTATGAGACTATTGATATTCTTGATGGTGTGTCACATCTTCTGAGGCTCTACTCATTTAAAAAAAAAAATTCTTTCTCCCTCCTCTGTGTCTTAAATTGTATAGTCTCTGTTAGTCTATCTCAAGGTTACCAATTCTTTCTTCTGCCAGTTCAAATCTCCTGTTGGGTCTCTAGTGAATTTTGAAATTTCAGTTATATTTTTCTTTTAAAAAAAGTTTATTTTTTTTTTCAGCTATGACAGAGAGAGAGAAAGAGAGAGATACTTCCATCCACGGTTCACTGCCCAAAAGCCTGTAACAGCAGGGGTTAGGCCAGCCTGAATCCAGGAGCCAGGAACTCCATCCCAGTCTCCTATGTGGGTGGCAGGGGCCCAAGCACCTGGGCCATCCTCCACTGCCTCTCAGGATGCCTTACAGGGAACTGGGTCAGAAGTGGAGCAGCCAGCATTGCGATAGGGGATGCAGGGGTTCCGAGTGGTGTCTTAGCCTGCTGCACCACTATGTCCACCTCCATTGTATTTTTCAATGCCGGAATTTTCATTGTTTCTCCCCCTGTAGTTTCTGCCTCTTTATTAGTACCCTCTATTTGATGCAACATTGTCATCATACCTTCCTTTGCTTCTTCAATCATTAGTTAGCTCTTTGAACATACTCATAATAGCTACTTTGAAGTCATTTTCTGTTCAATCTAACATCTGGTTGCTCTCACAGGCAGTTTCTGTTTCCTGCTTTTTCATGCTTTTCTGTTTCTTTGCATGTCCCTTTTTTAAAAACACAAACTAGACATATTTGATAATACATTGTGGCAGCTGTACACTGGTTCCCCACGCTGGGACTTCTGACTGTACTTGCTTGTTCATTTGTTTAGTGACTGTCTGGATGGCTTTAATGAAGTCTCTCCCCCTCCAGCGGGAAGCCTCCGGTGTTGCTCCTCTTGGCCACGGCTTTGGCTATGCCAGCAGTCTTCGAAGATGAAAGAGGTTTGTGCAAGGCTTTCTTTGATCCCTCTTTTTCTGCCCATACCCAGCTTTTAAGCACTGCTAATTGCCAACTGATTGCTCCATTGTTTTCACCAGTGTCTTGAGGCAAAAATTGCTCCACAATTAATCCAATCAAACTTTGCACCTTTGAAGATTTAGTTGCAGAAGGCAGTATCTGAGATTCTAACTCTGGTTGTTTTCCCAACTGGAAACTTTCCCAAGTTCTCCCTACCTTTTAGCCTATATGAATGAATCTATCAGTCTCCTCCCAATTTTTTTTTTCTTTTCTCACAACTTCCACCAATTTTGGGTATGCCCTTAGGGTTGAACTTCTCCACACTCTGTTGCAAATGAAGAAAGTTCTTTGCGGGAGGGGAAGATTTAGAGCTCTGTCTTGTACAGCCCCCTTCCAGCAAACTCTCAGAGGCCTGGCTCTGCGCTGGGGTGGGGACAGTGGTAGACTTCTCTCTGACTGAGCCTCCCTTTTGGAGCCGAGACCTCGATGGATGAAAGCAGCAGTCTCCAGTGTCCTGCACTTGGCTTCCGTTAGCATGAAATCCTTGCTCCATGGACCATCAAGGCCAGTTAGGGCCCAGTGGTCTGGAAATCAGTTAAGGTTAGGCCTCCAAATTTGTTTTTTAATTGCACTGAATATTCTAAAACCATTGCATTTTCTTGTTGAAATAGCACAAAAATGCCTACTGGGATTTTGATTTGAATCCCATTGACTAGAATAATTTGGGGAGAATGGCCATTTTATCAATTTTGAGTCTTCCAATCCCTGAATGTAGTATTTCTCTCTGTTTATTTGAAAAATTTTTTAAAGGATTTATTTATTTGAAAGAGTTAGAGAGGCAGAGGCAGAGAAAGAGAGAGAGAGAGGTCTTCCATCCGCTGGTTCACTCCCTAGATGGACACAACAGCTGGAGCTTGGCCAATCCAAAGCCAGGAGCCTGGAGCTTCTTTGGGTCTCCCATGTGAGTGTAGGGACCCAAGGCTTGGGCCACCCTCTACTGCTTTCCCAGGCCACAGCAGAGAGCTGGATCAGAAGTAGAGCAGCCAGGACTGGAATTGGCGCCCATATGGGATGCTGGTACTGCAGCCGGCGGCTTTACCCGCTACGCCACAGCTCCAGCCCCTTTGAACTTTTCTAATATCTTTCAGCAGGGCTTTATAGTTTTCAGTATATGATCAGGAGGATTTTTGGGGTTTTTGTTTGTGTTTTCTATTATTGGGTGGGAATTAGAAAAAAAATTCATTTTCCAAATTTTTGTTGCTAGTATAAGTATACTTCAAAAATCTGTGGTATGGGGCTGGTGTTGTGCCCTAATGGGTTCAGTCACCGCCTGCAAAGCTGGAGATTGAGTCCCAGCTGCTCCACTTCCCATCCAGCTCCCTGCTAATGTGCCTGGGAGAGCAGTGGAAGATGGCCCAAGTCCCTAGTTCCCTGAACCTACGTGGGAGGCTGGATGAAGCTCCTGGCCCAGCCCCAGCCATTGTGGCCACTTGGGGAGTGAACCAGTAGGTAAAAGGCCTCTCTCTGTCTATCCCTCTCTCTAACTCTGCCTTTCAAATAAATAAATCTTTTTAAAAAATCCATAGAAAATGAAATTAAGAAATTTCTGTGTGAAAAGAAATTGAGATTCATGCATACAAGTGGTTCCCAAAATGTTTATGAAAAATGTGTATTATGAAAAAATACATGCATGGATTTCAAAATCATTTTGTACCAAAAGAAACTTACCTTTTACTTTCTTCTGTAAAATTAAAAAAAATATTTATGTCAGAGAGAGAAGGAGAGCAAATGTGCGTGACAGATATATACACAGAGGGAGCGAGAGAGCCCCCATCCCCGGGACCACTCCCCAAGTGACCAAGACAGCTGGAGCTATGGGTGAGGCCAACGCCAGGAGCCAGAACTCAATCTGGGTCTCCCACGTGGGTGTCAGGAACTCAGTTACCTGAGCCGTTACCGGTCTTTCCCAGGGTCTTTATTAGCAGGAAACAGGAATCAGGAGCTAGAGCCGTGTATCCAGCCCAGGCACTCTCGTGTGGGACACGGGCATCCTAACCAGTGGCTTAACCAGTAGACCAAACACCCACATCCATTTTAATATAGTCATTTTGAAGCACCCTTGTGTACAAAAACCTCATATCATGTGACCTTGCTAAATTTGTTTATATTCTAATAGCTGGTTTGCAGATTTCCAGAGATTTTCCTACAAAAACAAATCATATCATGTACAAACAGGAACCGTTTTACTTCTTCCACTATTTATGCCTGCCTGCCTGCCTTCTTTCCTCCCTCTCTCCTTTTCCCCCTTTCTTTCTCTTTATCCCAATGGGTGGGACTGCCGGTACAATACTGAATAGAATTGATGAAAAAAAATTCTGTTTACCCTTTCAATAATGTTCCTTTCCTTTCCTTTCCTTTCCTTTCCTTTCCTTTCCTTTCCTTTCCTTTCCTTTCCTTTCCTTTCCTTTCCTTTCCTTTCCTTTCCTTTCCTTTCCTTTAAAGCTGAGCTTCTTGGAGAATAGCTTCTTCTTTTGCCTGTCTGTGTACCTCCTCGTTCACTCTTTAGCCTACTCATTATCTACAGTACTGTATACCAGTTTCTCAAAGGGCCTAATGATCTTTTCATAGCAAAATCCAACAAGCCTTTCACAGTACATGTGTTTCTGGTCCTTCCTATGCATTTATCCTTGTCCTTAAAGCTCTCCTTTCATGGTTCCCAGTCTTACCATGAATTCCTTTAAGCTTCCATCATGGCCATCTCTTTTTCTGTTTGCCTCTTGGATTGTTGACCATCTCTCACTCACTCAGACAGTTCCCAGTGGTTCCCCTCTTTTCACCCTGTGTGCTCTCTTGGGGAGCAGTTGCATTCGCTCCCAAGATTGCAGATCAACATGCATGTTGATGATTTCTGTATCTCTATTTCTAGTTCTAAACTCTCACCTTCCAAACCTGCTATCCAGCTGCCTAATGAAATTTCCTTCTAGGATGTTCCATGGACATCTGATATTTAACATACGTAAGACTTAGCTTATTATTCCTTCCTGTGTTCAACCTCCATCTTTTCCTAAATGTCTGGGAAAGAAAAAAAAAAAAAACAGTAGAGGGCATGGCTGTTTGGCCCAGTGGTTAAGATGCATATTCCCAAAGCTGAGTGCCTTTGTTTGCTTCATGGATTTAGCTATTGATTCCAGCTTCCTACCAGTGCAGACCCTGGGAAGCAGCAGTGATGGCTCAGGCAATTGGGTTTCTGCCTGATTGGGAGACCTGGATTGCATTCCCGTCTCCTAGCTCCAGCTCTGGCCCAGCCCCAGCCATTGCAGGCATTTGGGGAATTAGTCAGCAGATGGGAATTCTTTCTGCCTCACTCCTACCCCTCTCAGTTTTCCAGATGAAAGAACAGAGCACACTGCCCTAGAAAGAGAACTGAAGATCTCAGATATTTCTGGTGCTTCATCTCCATGCAGCCTGCTCATTTCACAAATTAGGGGGGGGAAAGTAGAAATTCTTGAAATGTTAAGGCTGTTTATTGACTTTGCATGCCCATGGTATTCCTGCTGCCGGAATGTTCTCTTCCTTTCCCTTTAGCCTGGTTCATAAACAATTCAGTCATTGCCACTAAGACACCTCTCCTAACTAGCCATAACCCAACCTAGCCAACTGAACTAGGAATTGAGCTCTGTACCTCCAGTGGACTTCTTTCAAAGTCTATAATATATTTTTGAGATATGTATTTGTTTATATGGCTGTTTTCCTCTATTAGATTAAAAAACCTAGGTTTAGTCTCCTAAGATATTCCTAGATCCTGCCATAGTGCCTGGCCCTGAACAGGTGCTCATTAAATATCTATGGTTTTACAAATAATGCAGTCAAGCCCAGAGTTAGTAAAGTGTATCCATCCAGATGAATACACACTCATATCGTGGTACTCTAGTGGAAGAAGACTGTGATGACAAAACATGGGTGACCTGTGACAGCATCTGTGAAAGAGGTCATCTCCAAATACGTTTCATGTTGTCTCCAGAAATTTCAAGAGAAGTAGATAAATGCCTCTTGAATCCAACCAATTCCCCTTTCTCTAATTCTGTGTTTATCAGGTGAGCAGATTATCTTACTATGAATATCTTCCTATAGACAAAAATATCCAAAACAAAAAAACAAGCAAAAATGGATGAGTTAGAAAAATTGAGAATCCAGTTTGTGAGAAGTTATAATTCTCTTTGTAAAAGAAGTAATTGGCATTTCTGCTCTTTGGGTTCAAGTGGAATGAATTTAACTCCCTGGATAGTCTAACAACACTGCTCTTGGCTTCAGAGCTAAGCTCAGGAATGGAGCAAGGTCTCTCCGTGTCACCTATGTGTTTCACCTGCCAAACCCAAGCCGCACCTGGTGTGCTTCACGGGACTTGCTTGCTAAGGCATCAAAGAACTCCCCAGGAAAGCCTGGGGGCCATTTGAGGTTTGCCCAATATTGTGTAATTGGATTACCTGGATTGTCAGACCTTTTCAGGTAGAAGCAGAGCGGGACCGGTCTAGCAGTGGCTGGTGCTACAGTCGAGAGCGAACTCTCATAAAGTTGGACCGAAATGTGAGAAGAGGTTATGAGGATAATGAAGGATGGGCAAAGACATGCAAGGGCCAGAAGGTACAGCTGTAACATGGGATAGTAAGCAGCGGATGAAAGGTAGCAAAAGGCGGTAAAAGCTGGCGAGGTGATGACTTAGGAGGAAGGGAAGGGTCAGTGAGAGTGGGGGAGTGAAAAAGCAGCAGAACCAATGAGTTGTATTTGTGCCCAGTTTCCCCCAGCGATGATGTATGTTCTTTGTAACCTCTAAGTGTGGAAAGTGGGTTGTGAGGAGGGGGCTTCTTTGCTACAGACATCACCCTAGGCTGTTTGGATAAGGTACTTATCCTCAGTTGCCTTGGGTTTCTAACCCAGTGTGAACTAAGATTAAGATTTATTCATTCAAGTGTCAGTTAAAACTACTGTGTGCCAGTAGGGATGTGACCATGAGTAAGATGAACAGAGGGGTGTTAATAGATCAAGTTAACTGTTACTGTTTGGTGTGATAAGCGTGAGGAAATGCAATATGCACAAGATGTTATGGGAGCAAAGTAGAAGGGCATCTAACCCAGACTGAGTGGCTCCCCCCAAAAGGATCCTTATTAGACTGGAATTATTAGGATAATAGGATCTTATCTCGTTCATCAGTCTTACATCTCTAGAACCTGTAAGTCCCTAGTATGTGATAGAAGCTGAATAAAAAATGAGTAGACTGACTGGACTAATCAAAATCAATCTTAACTTCATTTACTTGACACAAAAATAGTCTCAGTGAGAGATGCTGTCCCAAATCCCGTTGTTCAACTCTTAAAGTTTCCTTATAAGAGAACAGATTGATCTGGAACTACTGATTAATTAATCTGATATTTACTTGCTCTTAAAGTGTCGTGAGTACTAAAACTTTAGTGTGAACTTTCATGTATTTGAGACACCTAGTAGAGTCAGTACAATGTCAAGAAGGTATTCAACATTTCTTACAAGAATTAGGGTGACAGGGGTGGGTATTTGGTCTGCTGGTTAAGACAAACTGTTGAGATACCCACATCCATGTCAGAGTGACTGTGTTTGAATCCTGTCTCTGCTCCTGATTCCAGCTCTCTGCTAATGCGCACCCTGGGAGGCAGCAGCTGATGGCACAAGTAGTTGGGTCCCTGCCACCGACATGGGAAACTTGGACTGAGTTCCCAGCTCCTGACTATGGCCTGGCTCAGCCCTGACTGTTGTCAGCATTGATGGCGTGAACAACCAGCTGGGAGGTTTCTCCTGTCTCTTTCCCTCTCAAATAAATAAATAATTTTTTAAAGATTACAAAAAGTAGGGAAACAGTGTGCATTGCCCTGCATTGCCCACAGAAAAATTGTAGTATCATGTAAGTGGAGCTTCCACAATGCAGTGAAGCAAGTCCCTGCTCCTATGTGGGTTCTTCCAGAATATACCTGTTGTGGTTAAACTAGATATTTACAGACTGTCGAAACAACTAAGGATCAGTTGATTTTTATCTGCAGTTCCCTCTGTGTACCGCAGAGATTAGCTGCCAACTCTCCTACTCCAGGTGACTGGCATTTGGAAAGGAGACAAAACAGTGGTTCCATAGGGACTGCCTTTGTCATAAAGCTCCCATGAGTGGTGTGATGAGTCTGACAACAACATTTCAAATGAGAAGACTTGACTGCTATGTGACCTGGGACAAGTCAGTTCATCTTTCTGAGCCTGTTTCCTGATGTATGAAATGCAGATATTGAGATTCTTACCCAACCTCATGGAAGTACTGTGAAGATCAGATAGATAACATAGGTGGAAAGAACATTGAAAACTGTAACTAGCAGTGTGGCTGTTGACTATTAAAATGGTATGATGAATGGAGAGTGAAATTCAAAGTGCTGACTATGAGCATGGGCTGTGATGAGCAGTCTTGAATATTCTGTATTCAGTTCCAGAGCCCTTGACTTACTAACACTTCAGTGCTTAGGGTATTGAAAAGAATCTCTTGGAACTGTGGCATAGTGGGTTAAGCTGCTGCCTGTGGCACTGGCATCCCATGGGGACACCGGTTTGAATCCTAGCTGCTCTACTTCCGATCCATCTCCCTACTAATGCACCTGGGAAAACAGTGGAAGATGGCCCAAGTGCTTAGGTCCACATACCCACATGGGAGATCTAGATGACGGTCATGGCTCCTGGCTTTGGTCTGGTCCAGCCTGGCCCTTGAAGCCATTTGGGGAGGAACCAGCAGATGGAAGACCTCTCTCTTTCTCTCCCCCCACCCCCGCTCTGTAACTTTGCCTTTCAAATACATAAAAAATAAATCCTAAAAAAAGGAAAAAAGAAAAGAATCTCATGCTAGGTGGAGTTAGGAATTAGGTAAAATAGATTAAAAAAAAAGGTTAGATCAAGCAAGCAAAACCATGAGTATATGCACATATCCTTTAAAGAGTATCCTTTTAATGATTTAGGAAGCATTTTAGGCTCTCAAAACTTCTTACTGAAGCTAATATGGAAAACTCACGCACCCGAGAGACTTGGCTGACTAATTAGACAATCTGCACCAATTTGATGGCCCCAGCTGTACAAATAAAAGCTGCCTGGACCGCTGAAGCCTCAGAGCAAAGCTAGAAGGGGCAGAGCCCACAGACAGCCCAGCTGGCTGCTCTTCCCAAGTGTCTGAGAAGCAACATCTTTGTAAGACTCTGAAGAGTTTATTTGAACTCTAACTAAAAGAAACTAAGTACCAGTCATGCTAGCAAGGCTGATCTCTATCTGTCTCTGCTGGCCTGCGAGAGGGAAGGAATCTTACAAGACCCCGGCAGCTGCAGGCCGCCCACCCTGGACATCTCCTGCACACTACGGCTTGGCCAGCCTGTGTACAGCCTTTCCCAGTGCTAAGAGATCGCTGCAGGGGGTCGAAGGGGGTCCTACGTGAGTGACCACACGTAAGTGTTCTCAACCACCCCACGTGCCGCCCGCTGGTCAGTGTTTCCCCAGTCTGGTTCTGGCCAAGGCCAGTGACTGCTTTGCAAGACTCTGTGGCCCCTCCTGGCTTGATCTCTCTTGCAGGGCTCTGTCCCAGCACCTGCGAGCCCTCACCCCGAGAGACGGCTAATGTGCTAATTACCCTGAACCCAAAAATGTAAGCTGTAAACAAATGAGAGCTGTGTTTATCATCAATCAGTTTTATGACCTTCTGATGGTGATGATATCAGTGGCGTTTACACTGGGAGACCGCACAGCGCTCCTGGCAGCTGGCCGCTGAGGCTGCTTCGGGCAGGGGACGTGGAGGTGGCCTATTAAGTGTAGCGTTTGCACCAGCGGGAATGTTACTGTGACCAAATGGTCCATCTTGGATCTCAGGATTGCCAGATACATTATTTTCAAAAATCTTAAAGTCAGCTTGGATGGTATTCAAGCAATATGTGGTTTGGGGGCCTACGCTTCCCCCTCAAATGAAAAGCTGAAGGTGCATTCTTTGTGAACTGTAATTTGATATATGCATGAGTTGAAGACATCAGGGAGACTCTAATCCCCAGGACAAGGGGTCGGAGCTTGGCCTGGGTGCACAAAGAGGAGCTCACCCCTTGTAACTGCTGGGTGACCTGTGGCGTGTTGCACTCCGCCTCTTGATGCCTCACTTGTCCACCTGACACCAGAGGTGGAGATGGCAGGCAGCAGATGCCCGCTGAGCACGTGGCCACCCTAAGACCAGGAGGACCCATGTGAAGCATCAATATTATCAAAATGTGGCAAGAGAAATGTTTATGCCATAATCTGTGGTTTCTGATCAAAATTGCTGAGTTCTCGAATGAAACCTTGCGACTGTGCAAGTGAGATTTCAACCGCTTTTGGCACCTAGAAAATATGATTTGTGAGGTGCCCGACAGAGTCGGGGCATGGTGCAGGGGGAGGCCCAGCACTGCCCTTTGACCCCTAGGTCCTTTCATGGGCAGTCTGAGCTGTGGCGTGCGTGTGGATGCAGGGTGCGTGAGCCTCAGCTGCGTTTTGGGTTTGTGGACTATGCAGACAGAGGACTTGCCCGGCAATCCCCAAGGGTGTCTTTGCCCCCCGAGCACCTTGCCCTTCATTTTGTAGCCCCTGGGAAAGCCAGGCCCATCTGTTTCTCATTCATTTACACTTTGCTCATCAAAATGTTGGTTTTGGTTGGATTCCTTTGTTTTCATTTCAAGAAACCTTTAAGAAGGCAGAGAGAGGGAAGATGGGGACTGAGCAAGCAGTGTTGATGGCCACGCTCTGTGTCCTGTCTCTGGCATTACTCAGGGCCCACTGTGGGGTGACAGGCAGCCTTTTCCCCACTCTCCCACTTGAACAGTTTAACTCTCTTATTTTAAAAAGACAGAAGAAGCAATGCAGGCCTTCACTTCTGTCCCACAACCAGAGATTGGGAAGGCACCCAGAATCTGCAGGGTTCACGAGGGCACAGGCCCGGGATCTCCAACTTCGCCTTTTCTTTCTCTCTCTTTTGTTTTTAAAGAGCTCGCTGTTTTTTCTTAGGTTCTTGAAGGTGCGTGAGTGGCTGGAAACTTTTGTTCCCATCAACTTGGGGGACTAGGGATAAAGGGTTGAGTATTCTCCCTCTGCACCCTTCATTTGTCCATTGCCTTTGAAACTATGAATATTTGTGAGTTGCAAGAAAAGTCAATGCAGTCTATATTCTGGCCTTTTGAGGAGTTTTATATCCCCTCAAAGCAACCTTTTTCCTTAGCTGTTGGTCAAAATCAGTAGTTGCAGGCATTTTAAGTGGGGCCAAATTCCTTCCTTGCTTGCAGCTGTAAACTTGCTGGTCTCTGGGAGTAGAAATAAAGTTAGATTACATTCTGCCTCACCACCAAGGAGAGATAACTCCCTCCCTAGTCCATAGTTTACACATTCCTGAGTAACAACCATAATCCAAACATTGTAGGAACATGACAAGAACTACCCCATATACAGGATGCATTACTGTTGATTATGTATTGTATGCATTGTATAACCTTAAACAAGGTTCACATCTGAAGAGGTAAGGGATTCGCTTGGTTGGTCTAAGGTATCTAGTTTACAGTGATAAATCTGTGGTTCTGCTATTAAGTATCTCAGTAATGTCTGATGACATGGATTGCTTTTAATGATGTGATAACCAGGTGCCCAGAGAATTTGCAAATTCGTTTCCATTTTTCTCATAATTGGCTTTACTTCCGGTCATGTGTGCCAGATGGTGTGGAAGACACAGTCTGCAAAACGTCACTAATTGGGCACAGGACGCCTCGCTGTCATTAATGGTCCTTAGGAAGTTCTAGAATCAACACTGCCACTGTGTCTTTACATTAAATGCCATTCATGTGGGTGGCGGCCTAGCACGCAGGCTGTGCTTTGGGAATCAGATCTACCGGGCTGACATCTGAGCCCTGCTGCTTAGCATTAACTTTGGCAAGTCATTAAGCCTCTCTGTTTCCTCCAGTGTAGGGTAGGGTAGGGTAGGGATAATAACAGTGCCCTGTTTGTTGGCACACTGGAAAATGACCATTTCCATGGCGGGAATATGCCCAATGTGGTTGAGTTCAAGTTGCACCAGCTGGAGATGGGGAGCCATGAGTGGTATGAACCGTGGCCAGTACTCCACTAATAGTGCTCAAACCTTAGGGCTGTTGGGAGCATGGGAAGTGCTTAATGTTGTGCTTGGATACATTTTATTTCCTTGATGATAAGATGCATCAATTATTTGAAAACCCATCACTTAAAAATAGATTTTTAAGGGAAAACATTCACTGGTGATATATATATATATATATATATATATATATATATATATATATATATCTTGTTTCAGAAATGAAGAAATAAAGTGCTTGTCCTAGAATTGAGGAAGTAGTGTTTACTCTGGACTAGGTACCATGCTAAGCCTTTCTCATAGTGAAGAAGGCTGTGGCACATGTGCTGTTGGCTTGCAGCTGTGTTTGCCTGCCTATTAAATGAGAAGTGATCTCTCAAATGAGGATTCTCTGCACCTTCTAGAATGTCTCTGTCACACCTTGTGTTAGTCTGCCAGCGCTGTCATCACAAAATGGCACAGACTGAGGGCTTACATAGCAAGAATTTCCTGTGGGCAGTTCCAGAGGCTGGAAATCCCAGATGGAGGTGTGAGTAAGTCATGGTTTCTCCTGAGGCCTCGCCCCTTGGCCTGCAGATGGCCATATATTTGCTGTATCCTCACATGGGTCTTTTCTCTGTGCGTGTGCCACTCTGGTGTCTCTTCTTCTTACGAAAACATCAGTCCTTGGAGTAAGGCTTCAATACATGGGTTTTTGTGGGCCACAGTTCAGTCCAGACCACATGTCTTCAGTCTCTGTGTTAATTTCCCGTGGCTAAGCAGGACAAAACATCATAAACTCAGTGGCTTAAAACAGCAGACACTTATTCAGTCACCGTTCTGGAGGCTGAAAGTCCAAGGTCAAGGGAGCATCCCCAGGGCTGGCATTGTGAACCAGGGGGCTCAGCCACCGCTGCAAAGCCACCGCTCCATAGGAGCACCAGTTCAAGTCCTACCTGCTCCACTTCCAATCCAGCTTCCCGCTACTGCACCTGGGAAAGCAGTGGAAGATGGCCCAAGTTCTTGGTCCTCTGCACCCAAGTGGGAGAACTGTATGGACTTCCAGGTTCCTGACTTTGGCCTGACCCAGCTCTAGCCATTGAGGCCATTTTGAGAGTGAAGCAGAGGATGGAAGATAGCTCTCTGTCTCTCTAACTCTGCCTTTCAAATAAATAAAATAAATCTTATCCCCCCCCACCCACCCAAGAAGAAACTCTGAAGGCTCTAGGAGAGAACCCTTTATTTTCTCATCCAGTTTGCAGGGACTCCAGGCATTGGCTGGCCTATGGGAACGTAATACCACTCTCTGCCTCCATCTCAACATGGCCTTTTCCTCTTCTCTCTTTCATCTCTTTTAATGAAAATGTCATTGGATTTAGGGTGCGCCCAGTTGATCCAGGATGATCTTATCTAAATATCCTTAACTCCATTGTAGCTACAAAAATCCTTTTCCAAGTAAGGTCTCTTTCACAGATGCCATGTGGACATATCTTTTGGAAAGGGAGTAAAGGAGCACCGTCCAAGCCGATTATTTCATTAAGTAAAATGTGTAGGATAGCATACTGATTTCATCATAACTAGATGTGTTGATGGTGTCCGGTAAAGAAACCAAACTCTTGCTTTTTGTAATCTTTTCACAAAATCAAATCAGCTCACACCAACTGTGGCAGAGACAGCTGCGCGATCACCAGAAACATGGACCCTCCTTCTATAACGTGGAGTTGGGGCTAA